AAAATGAAGGAAAGGAAGGAAGGAAAAGAAAATCTACTAATGTTGAATATGCATATCACACGAAGCAGTAATTCCAATCCTAGGCACGTCCCAATTTATATAAATTTCAAAACCAGGTAAAATTAAAGTATAGAGTTAAAGGTGGTTATTGGTCAGGCACAGTGGTTTACATCTATAATCCCAGCAATTTGGGAGGCTGAGGTGGGAGGCCTGCTTGAGGTCAGGAGTTCCACACCAGCCTGGATAACATAGTAAGACCTTGTCTCTGCAAAAATAAAAATAAAAAAATTAGCCAGGTGTGGTGGTGTGCCTGTAGTCCCAGTTACTCGGGAGGCTGAGGTGGAAGGATCCTTTGAGCCCAGGAGTTTGAGACTGCAGCTAACCATGATCACACCACTGCACTCTAGCCTGGGCAACAGAGAAAGACCATGTCTCAACAAAAACAAACGAACCAACCAACCAACCAAACAAACAAAAAGGTTATCTAGGGAGAAGAGGAGGGAAATTATTGTGGAGGGGGCATGATGGGGGCTTCTGCGGGTGTTAGCAACGTTTTGTTTCTTGACCTGGATGATGATCACATAAGTGTTCATTCAGTAATAATTAATTTAACCATATGTCTACTTTGTGCACTTTTCTGCTTGTCTGTTATACTTCATAATGCAATTAAGTTAAAAACAAAATGAGAACAAGAAATGTAGAAAGGGCCGGGCGCGGTGGCTCACGCCTGTAATCCCAGCACTTTGCAAGGCCGAGGTGGGTGGATCACTTGAGGTCAGTTCAAGACCAGCCTGACCAACATGGTGAAACACTGTCTCTGCTAAACATACAAAATTAGCCTAGCGTGGTGGTGCACGCCTATAATCCCAGCTACATGGGAGGCTGAGGCAGGAGAATCGCTTGAACACAGAAAGTGGAGGTTGCAGTGAGCCGAGATTGTGCCATTGCACTCCAGCCTGGGCAACAAGAGTGAAACTCTGTCTCAAAAAAAAAAAAAGAAAGAAAAAGAAATGTAGAAAGAATCTACATGTAGAATGATTTAAGCATATTTTCTAAGTTTATCAATATAACATTTGGCCAAGTCATCAGGTTGGATGGAGCTATAATCACCATCTCAAGGGTCAATGGGATACTGAAGGTGGGTGTTGGGGAGAGGGATTGCCTTTTGAGATATAGGAAGGTAGACTGAGGCCTGATTGCTTCTAGATGTCCTGAAGCTTATTTAACTTGCCTTAATGCCTAGGTATTCCAGAGAGCCAGTTCCCGGCTATTCCAGTCTTCATTTTGTAACATTACTTGTAGCTGAATTACATTTTCCTTTTTTCTTTTCTTGTTGTTTTTTTTTAGATGGAGTTTTGCTCTGTCGCCCAGGTTGGCGTGTAGTGGCACGATCTCAGCTCACTGCAACTCCGCCTCCTGGGTTCAAGCCATTCTACTGTTTCAGCCTCCCAAGTAGCTGGGATTATAGGCATGCACCACCATACCCAGCTAATTTTTGTATTTTTAGTAGAGATGGGGTTCCCCATGTTGGCCAGGCTGGTCTCGAACTCCTGACCTCAGGTGATCTGCCCACCTTGGTCTCCCAAAGTGCTGGGATTACAGGCATGAACCACCATGCCCAGCCAATCTTTTTACCCAGCCGTCCCAGCTTTGCTACATTTATCTTGACATTCTATTTTACCTATAAAAATAGCCTCTACCAGGAAGCCAAGGTGAGCAGATCACTTGAGGTCAGGAGTTAAAGACCAGCCTGGCCAACATGGCAAAACCCTGTCTCTACTTAAAAATAAATAAATAAATAAATAAATAAATAAATAAGCCAGGTGGCTACTCAGGAGGCTGAGGCAGGAGAATCACTTGAACCTGGGAGGCCGAGGTTGCAGTGAGCTGAGACTGTGCCACTGCACTCCAGCCTGGGCGACAAAGCTAGACTCTGTCTCAAAAAAAAAAAAAGGAAAAATAACTTACAAAATAAAGGAGTAGTGAGTATTACACTCAACCGTTAGCCTCATTCCAAATTCTCTTAGGGTGTTTATTGATGATATAGATGATAAATATACATACAGTTGTGATCAGTATCCATATACTTCTTCTTTTCTCTTAACCTTATTTTTCCACATGTACTTGTCACCTTGTTTCCTACATACGTTATTTTGAGTTTACCTATTTGTCATAGTTGGCAGCTACAAGGTATTCCATTTTAATTATCTATGTTTAGCCTTTTTTTTTTTTCCCCGACTCAACCTATTCTAATATTCACAGGAAGCACAATTTCTCTGTATCGGTCTCTAATAGGTCAACATGGACCATTTATTTCACTCCTGCTTCTTTTTTTTTTTTTTTTTTTTTTTTTTTTTTTTTTTGAGACGGAGTCTCGCTCTGTCGCCCAGGCTGGAGTGCAGTGGCCGGATCTCAGCTCACTGCAAGCTCCGCCTCCCGGGTTCACGCCATTCTCCTGCCTCAGCCTCCCGAGTAGCTGGGACTACAGGCGCCTGCCACCTCGCCCGGCTAGTTTTTTGTATTTCTTAACAGAGACGGGGTTTCACCGTGCTAGCCAGGATGGTTTCTATCTCCTGACCTCGTGATCCGCCCGTCTCGGCCTCCCAAAGTGCTGGGATTACAGGCTTGAGCCACCGCGCCCGGCCCACTCCTGCTTCTTCCTCAAAGTTGCAACTCTACTATTTTCACCAGCTGTGTCAAAACAGGTTTCATGAAGTGACACGTTAAAATATGTGGGTCCTTTGAAGTAATTTTTTTTTTTTTTTACCAAATTAAACAATGACTCTGTATGCCTTGTTTCATCTTCTGTTGTTCATCTGTACAGGGCCCTCTTCACTCTTTTATTTTTAAAATTCTATTTTTTCTTTCTTTTTTTTTTCCTTCTTTTTTTTTTTAGAGGGGGTCTTGCTCTGTCGCCCAGGCTGGAGTACAGTGGCATGATCTGGGCTCACTGCAACCTCTGCCTCCCAGGTTCGAGCGATTCTCCTGCCTCAGCCTCCTGAGTAGCTGGGATTACAGGCGTGCACCACCACGCCCAGCTAATTTTTGTATTTTTAGTAGAGACAGGGGTTTCACCATATCGGCCAAGCTGGTCTCCAGCTCCTGACCTCAGGTGATCTGCCTGCCTCTGCCTCCCAAAGTGCTGGAATTAAGAGGTGTGAGCCACCATGCCTGGCCCTAAAATTGTATTTTTAAAAAGACATGGTCTCTCGAACCCTTGAGCTCAAGGGATCCTATTGCCTCAGCCTCCCAAATAGCTGGGAGTACAGGTGTGCACCACCACACTCCGGGTCATCATTCTGTCATTATATTGCAGTTATTTCATGTGTCAGTGACTGAAAGTGAACATATGATAATCTTGTGAACACAGGGTTTCATGGTGGAAAGAAAACTACATTCTATACCTCATTCCTTCTTCAGTACAAGCGTCTGCAGGAAAAGGGGAAAAAAGAGGCGGGATCATCTATTATTCAACAAATTTCAACGTCACCCTGCCCATCTGGATCTAGTCTCCCTCATTAAATGCAAAGGATGCTGCCACCTGGCTCCTCTCCCTAGCAGTATTCACATCATCTAGGCTAGAGAATCCCTTCCCTTTGGCCTGTTTTGCACAAAACCGAGTAAACGTTTTCAAAGTATAAATACGCAAAATTATTTGCTATCTCTTTACTATTTACGATGCGCATAGATGTTACTGAAAGTTTTGGAGCCTTGACGGATGAAGTATGGGATGCTGAGGATCGGGGAATGTATCTAAACTCTCAAGTTGTGTCCTATTCAAAAAACTCCCTTCTAAAAGTATTTTTACGGTATGTAGGGTTTTACAAGAACAAAATCTCTACTTAGTAACAGCGGATCCCCTTTTATTATCTTTGTGCCTACCTGGATGCACGGTTCCAGGATGTTCTCGTCACTAACCACAAGTCCACCAGAGGGCGATGGTTCCCCGTCTATCTACTGTTCTCCATCAGCGACTCAGAAAATCCAGGTTAAACACTCAGGCAGTCTTTCACATTTAATCCACAAATATTTACCAAGAATTTGCCGTGCCACCTGACTCGGGGCTAGGTTCACAAGATACAGTAGTGAGTTAGGCACGATTCCTACTACCAGAAGCTTAGAGCATAGGAAAGACTGAAAGTAAGCAACTGTCTACAATAGTGGGATAAGTGAAGAGTTTCCAGGTCTGTGGAGTTTGTTGTTGAAATATCAGCTCCAGGCCTTAGAAGCCGGCAGCAATTCATTAAGAGATCCCGGACTTGTTTCTGCTCTGTATCCCGGACAAGGAGTTCCGTCCCCAAGGTGTTTTGTTAGAGCCAGAGACCTCTCCTTGGTTGACTCCATTCGTCAGCCCCACAAGTCCCTGTCTCTGGTCTTTTTCACGGTTTCCGGCAGCTCTCTGACAGTTCCCCTTCTGCCCCAGGTCGACACTTAGGCCAAGGACCAGGGATTACTCACAACTATCCGCCAGAGCTGGCTCCGCCCTTTCTTTTTCCTGTTTAAAATCCGCGGGCTCTTAGTGTTCTCGGTTCGTAGAGTTCCTGTTCTGATTCTCGCGACAGTTGCGAGGCCACGCGTGAAGTTCCCTTCTAGTCCCTCTTTTGAATTTGAGACCAGGAGAGAGTGTCTGCCCTTGCCCCCCTCCTCAGAACCCCTCTCGCCAGGGATGGCGCCTACGTGGCTCGTGAGCCCCTGAATGAATGGGGTTGGCCCAACTCAGGGGCGCTCTCCGAAAGGAGAGTGCCGGTTGGATTCCAGGGCTCCAGTGCGCATGTGGAGTCGATCCCGCGCAGGCGGGCGGGCACCACAGCCAGGCCTTGTGGGCGGAGCCTGGCTAAGTGCCGCCCCCTCGCCGGCCGCCGATTTCTGTCCCCCGCCCCCAGCGAGCTGGACTGCGCCGCGGCTTCTCTGAGCCGCTTGGGGCCGTCCGGGGAGGGGCCTGCGCGACCCGGGTTTGGCGGGCGGGCCTCCAGGAATGCTCTCCTCCCCGCCCCCGGCACAAAGTGCCACGGTGGCAGTGGTGGCGGCCGCGCGGCCGAGTGCCTCCGGCCCTGCCAGCCTCGCAACCGTAACCTGTAATCCCGACCCGAGGGACGCCCGCCTGGGAGGCCCAGCCCGCCTCTCCCTGCGGCCGCTGGTTAGCTCCGACCCCGAATCACCCGGCTCACCCGCGGGTTGCAGCACCTGCCGGATGTGGGGAGGAAGGAGTAGGCCAGATGAGGGAAGGCAGATGTAGGCGTCCAGTCTGTCAGCGCCTCGGTGGGGGAGCTGGGTGGGCAAGCCTGCAGTCGCTCCCCGGAACCAGCCCTGGGCTGCGGGGAGGCGAAGTTGGTTGGTCCTGCCCTCCAGGGGCGCCCCGACATCGACGTAAAATGACTTGGCAGCAGAGCTCCTGCCGCTTCCCCCTTATGCAGCTGCCCTCGCCGACGCCAGGGACTGTAAAGGCAGATGGGACAGGGCCTAGCCGTTCAGCCAACACTTTGAGCTTCCCAGCCAAACTCCTACCCCCACTCCCCGCCTCTGGTCCTCACCCCCTTCCTCTCTCCTAGCCTCGGTGTCTGGTTACGGCTCCTCTGCTCGCACTGTGACTTTGGGCCAGGCTGGGGGAAATGACCCGGGAGGGTCCCGTGTGGCTACATAAAATTGGCAGCCTTAGAACCAGTGGGAAGGCGGGTGCGCTAAATCGAGGGGCGGAGAGAGGGGGCGGAGGAGCTGTTTTCTGAATCCGAGTCCGTGGGCTCTCTCAGAAGTCCTCAGGCCGGAGCAGAGGTGGCTGGCGGGCCCGGCTGACTGCGCCCCTGCTTTATTTCCATAACCTTTTCTTTCGGACTCGAATCACGGCTGCTGCGAAGGGCCTAGTCCCGGACACTAGGTGAGCACTCTGTGCCCCAGGCCATAAGCAAGGGGGCATCAGCTCCCGCTGTTTCCACCCCCCATTAACAGCTTCTTACTTCTGGAGCCGTCCATTCTCTTTGGGCAAGGATGCTCAGGGGCCAGGGATCGGAGTCGGATGGTGCACGGAAGTGGTGCTCGTGGTGGGTGTGCGTGCGCTTGATCCTTATCACCCCTTCCTCACCTTTCTTCCCTCCCAGCCACCCCCGAGAACAGCCCAACTGATTGCTAACTGCCATAACTGGATAATCCCTAGAGGGTCACTAGGCCTAATGTGTTGGGGGAGTCTACTTGGTAGCAGGGGAGGGGGCGATGCTAGCGTCATGCTTTGGTACAAGAAGCAGTGAGGTTGGTCTTTCGGCACAGGTCCCGTTTCTGACCTCCTGACCTGGCTTCCCTTCCTGGCAGGGTGCCACGAACGCGCTGATGCCCCGAGTGCTCGCAGGGCTTCCCGCTAACCATGCCGCCGCCGCCCGCAGCTGCCTTGGCGCTGTCTGTGCTCCTGCTACTGCTGATGGTGCGGACGCCGCTCCCGACCGGCGCAAGGCCGTCGTCAGGCCCAGATTACCTGCGGCGCGGCTGGCTGCGGCTGCTAGCGGAGGGCGAGGGCTGCGCTCCCTGCCGGCCAGAAGAGTGCGCCGCGCCGCGGGGTTGCCTGGCGGGCTGGGTGCGCGACGCGTGCGGCTGCTGCTGGGAATGCGCCAACCTCGAGGGCCAGCTCTGCGACCTGGACCCCAGTGCTCACTTCTACGGGCACTGCGGCGAGCAGCTTGAGTGCCGGCTGGACACAGGCGGCGACCTGAGCCGCGGAGAGGTGCCAGAACCGCTGTGTGCCTGTCGCTCGCAGAGCCCGCTCTGTGGGTCCGACGGTCACACCTACGCCCAGATCTGCCGCCTGCAGGAGGCGGCCCGCGCTCGGCCCGCTGCCAACCTCACTGTGGCACACCCGGGGCCCTGCGAATCGGGTACGCACGGCCCGGGGCCCCCACCCCAGCACTTAGGTTTCCTAAAGGCACTGCTCCCCGACCCCTGACGGCGTTGGTCTCTGGCCAACAGATCGAAATAGATAAGGCCATAGAGGCCTCGAGTCCAGTATAAAACCCTGCTCTCGCTACTGGTCCATAGAAGCTGCCACCTGAAGGTGGGGGTGGGGGAGTGGAGTGGAGTGAGGGTCCCAGGCTTCGTCAGCAAGCTGCATGCGCTGAACCATGTGAAAGCTCCAGAGCTGGCTGGCAGGGAGAGACAGGTCCTCTGAGGGCGCGGGCACATAGCCTATGGTTTGCTCAGAACCCCTCGTCGACACACACTTTTCCCAGACCAGTGGAGTCCAGGCAGCAAAACGGGTTCCTGTGAGATGCAATCACGTTTCATTTGGGCAGATTCTTAGAGCAGTCTGTTCACTCAGTCTCCCCACCTCTCTCCTTTCTTCTGCGTTTAGGGATTAGTGAAGAGGAGCAGGAAGCTCAGCTAGTTCTCTCTCTATCCCCGGGGACTGGGGGCCATTCAGGGTTCTAGCTTTCCTTGGCAGCTTTAGTAACTTTCACTTCCTGAGCCCCGGCTCTGTGTCTGGCTCGGCTGGGGCAGTCAGAAAACAAACACCCCGCGGGGATCCCAGCAATTTCCTGCACTCCTGCAGGCCTCCTGCCTGTTGCACAAGTCCAGCTTCAGGTTCTCCGCCTTGCCGGGGGGACTCCCCCAGGGGGTCCCGCTGTGTAGGGAACGGCTGCTTTTCCGCCTTTGGGAACTGGGCCTGTTTAGAAAAGGGGAACGGGTATCTGGAAGGTTTTAGTTATAGGCACTGCGGGAAAGGCTGGGGAGGGTGGAATGAGGACAGGAGAGCAGTTGGGGACAGAGTGGCTGCCAAGCTACAGTGTAGGTGTGTGTGCTTGTTTGTGCATTGAGTCTGCATGAGGTCCTATGTGCACATGTGCATGTATATCTATCTCCACGTCTGCGTGGTACCCTTGTGTGTACCAGCATCCACATCTGTGTGTACCTGTGTGTGTCATGGTGTGTTTATGGATATGTATTTACCTCAGCATATATTGTGTTCTGCCACAAGCATGTCCACAAAAATTTGTGTATCATGTGTTTGCCAGACTGGATGCCTTTGCTGGGCCATGCTATTCTCAGACCTCCCACCTTCACCCCCAGGGCCCCAGATCGTATCACATCCATATGACACTTGGAATGTGACAGGGCAGGATGTGATCTTTGGCTGTGAGGTGTTTGCCTACCCCATGGCCTCCATCGAGTGGAGGAAGGATGGCTTGGACATCCAGCTGCCAGGGGATGACCCCCACATCTCCGTGCAGGTAGAGACCGGTGGGAGAGGCTTCCCTCAGGCAGCCCAGGGCCCTCCAGAAGGACCTCGCTGATTCCTTGCCTGGCTCCAGTTTAGGGGTGGACCCCAGAGGTTTGAGGTGACTGGCTGGCTGCAGATCCAGGCTGTGCGTCCCAGCGATGAGGGCACCTACCGCTGCCTTGCCCGCAATGCGCTGGGTCAGGTGGAGGCCCCTGCTAGCTTGACAGTGCTCACACCTGGTAAGGGGATCCCTGAGCTCCGGGAGTTGGAGGGGTGGTGCTGGATTCCAGCTGTGAATATGTAAGAAACAGTCCATGTGTCTGTGTGCATGTGGGTGCATACACAAGCATAGCCTTCCGCAGACTGGGCTATGTTGGTACTGACAGCCCCTCTCTCCTGTTTTCTCTCCTTTGCCCACGTGTGTTTGCAGACCAGCTGAATTCTACAGGCATCCCCCAGCTGCGATCACTAAACCTGGTTCCTGAGGAGGAAACTGAGAGTCAAGAGAGTGACGATTACTACTAGCTCTGGCCCATGGGGGTGGGTGAGCAGCTATAGTGTTCATCCCTGCTCTTGAAAAGACCTGGAAAGGGGAGCAGATTCCCTTCATGGACTGCTTTCATGGGGATGATCATGGGAGGCCTATTTAACTCCAAGGTAGCAGGGTGGTAGGGGAGAGACAAAAGCTGGAGGAGGTTAGGGAGAGAGGCTGAGACCAAGACCAGTGGGGTATAAAGGGGCCCATGCAGGAGATGCCCTGGCCAGTAGGACCTCCAACAGGTTGTTCCCCAGGCTGGGATGGGGGCCAGAGCAGACACGGAGGTGGAGGCACCAGGATTCTCCACTTCATCCAGCCCTGCTCCGCCACACTTCTAACTGCCCTTCCTCCCAGGCCCTGGTTCTTGCTATTTCCTGGTCCCCAAAGTTTACCTAGCTTGTTTGCCCTTTCCCCAAACTCATCTTCCAGAACTTTTCCCTCTCTCCTAAGCCCCAGTTGCACCTACTGACTGCAAGTCCCCTTTGCTGTCTGCCCTCTTTTGCACAAGAGAGAGCACAGCAGAGCGTGGCTTAGTTCAGTGCAGAGAGATGGGTGAGGCCAGCTCCAGATCTTATACCGCTCTGTACTGGACAAAACCTAGCACAGGGCTAGGCACCAATAAAGATTTCTAATGATGCACAGACAGATGCACAGACAGTTTATGCGGATGTGCACATGAAAACTGAATATCCTTGGGAGGCCTCCCACACTAACAGAACTCTGGCTTCTAGAAGCTGCAGGGCCTGCTCTCTAAGCACATGCCTGCCAGATGTACAGAGAGAAGGTTTGAACTTGGGCCTATCCTGCCTTTGAGGGAGGGAGGCTGGAGCCATTTGATTGGAGGGAAGTTATCTTCCCGGTATGCCCTCCATTGGGGCTGGTATACATTACCTGCTTCTGTGCTCATCTTACTCCAAACCCTTTCCCAGGCCAGAATGGGGAATCAGGCCTATGTGGGTAGGCCCCCAAAATGAATGCATAGAGAGAGGAGGGTAGAAGTTTGGTCACCTGTGTGGTCCATACTCTTCCCCAGCTCCCATAGGAATCTACCCTTTTCCTGCAGAAGCCAGAGCCATGGTAAGCCTGTTTCCTATCTGCCCCAATTGTGACCTGTCCTCTCTGGCTTGGGGTCCCCAAATCTCTTTCCTCATTCTCCTTACCTAGCTCAGGGACACTGGTGAGACTCAATGTTTATTTAATGATTGACGGAGAGAATGAAAGCACAAGTCAGCGAGGCCGAGACACTGCGTGTGGATGGCGACAGCCTCCTACACGCCAGCGCTCCACCCAGATCCTGGCGCCACTGCGGGAGGGCCTGCCCTTGGCTCAGCGTCAGAATTTGTCCTCTGGGGCCCAACGCAGGGAGCCTGGCCTCATGGGAGGGGCGTGGTCCGGAACTCCAACCCCAGGGCCTGCTTGGCCGCCCCTCCCGCGGCTACGCACGACTCCATCTACTGCTGCCTTGCCCCGGGTCCTTAAGCCAGCGACAGTGTTTATTGCCGAACCCAGGCTGGAGCCGGGCGGCCCCAGGAGCCGCGCACAACAGCGCAAGCGGGTTGGATACTGGGAGCCGATTCCAGGGCGCCCACAGAAGCAGAATCAGAGGGGTAGGCGAGGGTGGGGCGTGCTGTTCGGCACCGTGGCCAAAATCCACTCGGCGCTGAAAGAGGGAACTTGGGTGTGAGTCCCAGCATCGGCCAGGGAATCCGCCCCTAGCTTGTTCTTCGCCCAGCTGGGCTCCAAGGCGCCCTCTGCGGGTCCATAGCCCCTACCGCGTCCACCTGCAGAGCAGAGGCTCCTCACCAAAAGCCCACCCCACCAGAGAGGGTCACGCAGGTCCCGGGGAATCCGTACTCCTTGATCGCGTTAGCCGACTTTGTAGGTGTTCAGGAGCAGCCTCCCAGCAGCCTCAGTTTTCCCTTCCGCCGCCCTGCTGGTTCAAGCCCCACATCCTGGAATGGGAGAACTGTTGTCCACCGCCCCCTCCCTCCCCGCACCCCGCCTCTGCTGCAGCGGACCCGCTTTAATAACGTCGCTGGAAAGTGACACGCGATTTATTATTAAAGTAATGCGGGCGCGGGGACGGGAAAGGTTTAATAAACGTGCTGAGATGCCGAGGATTATTCACCGCAAATAAATGAGAGCGCGGGCGGCGTTTTAATAAATAATTTCCCGCTGCTCCCGGGGGAAGGGAGGGGAGGGGAAGGGAGGAGGAGGGGGAGGCTGAGCCGCTGCCAGAACTCCCGGTTTCGCCTCCCCACGGGCTTCCAAGCCATCCCCGGTTTCGTGTCCTAGGTTGCTCACACCCGAGATCTGAGGTTCCAGGAGCGCCGACCCAGAGTTGCCCAGGCCTGAAAGCGGGAGAGGCTCAGTCACACCCTACATTCCCCCACCTCCGAGATTTTAAGTATAGTCCGCTTGAAATCCCTGGAATGCTCTTTCTTCTGGCTCCTACCCAGAGATCTGGAGTCCGGACCAACCGGGGCAGGAAGGGTCCGTCGGACCAGCCCCTCCCAAGCCGAGGCTTCCAGGTCTCAGCCGGGCTCTTCTTCTTGCTTTTAGCTGAGCCGAGCTGGGCATGCCTCTCTCCTCCATCTAGGGCAGGGTGTGAAGCGGAAGCCAGAGGGGGCTGTCTGAAAATGACCTTGATCCCCTCCTCGGGCTGTCGTGAGGAGGAGAGCCGCTTCGCCTGGCTGCTCGTCATCGCTAAGGCTCCAAAGAATGGTTGCGCAGCCGTGTTGGTATAACCGAGGGTGTCCTGGAGAAGCCCAGCCCCTGGCGCTCTGGTGACCTGGGGGGTCGATGTACGGACTGGGCAGAACTGAGCCCGAAGCCGGAGAGCGCCCCTGAAAAAGAAGCCTGGAAGCCCGAGAGATGAACCCGACTCAGAGAGGGCAAAGACTGCAGACCTTGGGGACCGAGGACACGCTCACCACGATGGTGGGGGCTGGGAGGAGGGTGCGGGCGGTGGCGTGCGGGGAATCGCCTGGGGAATCGCTCTGCAAGTTTTGTGCCTTAGCGGAAAGAGGCGACATCTCTGGCAACTTGGGAGTACAGGAAGTGGCGAAGGAGTGCCATCTGGTGGATCATTCTGGTAGTGACACTCAGACCTGGGCCAGGGACCTCGAGACAGTTTACTTAACTGGAAAAATCTGAGTAAAAAAATAGATGCTTCAATTTGTATTCATTTAATGTATGTGAATGTGCACGTGTATGTGTACCATATATTGATATGATATCTATATGTAAAATCTAATATATCCATAGTAGTTATGTGTGCATTGTATGTATACATGTATACATCTAGATGCATATTATACATGTAGTTTTTTTTTTTTGAGATGGAGTCTTACTCTGTCGCCCAGGCTGGATTGCAGTTGTGCTATCTCAGCTCACTGTAATCGGGTTCGAGCGATTCTCCTGCCTCAGCCTCCCAAGTAGCTGGGATTACAGGTGCGCATCACCATGCCCAGCTAATTTTTTGTATTTTTAGTAGACATGAGGTTTCACCATGTTGGCCAGGCTGGTCTCGAACTCCTGATCTCCAGTGATCTGCCCGCCTCGGCCTCCCAAAGTGCTAGGATTACAGGCGTGAGTCACCACGCCTGGCCTACATGTAGGTTTTGTATGTATGTATGTGTGTGCAAAAGTATATATGGGTGTATTGTTATAAGTATATGTATAGACATTTATTTTCAAGTATATATTCCATTATGTATCATTCATTCATTCTTTCTTTTTTTTTTTAAAGAGACAGGATCTTGCTCTGTCACCCAGGCTGGAAGACAGTAGCACTTTCATAGCTCACTGCAGCCCCAAACTCCTGGGCTCAAGTGATCCTCCTGTCTTAGCCTCCTGAGCAGCTGGGAATTACAGGCACGAGCCATGATGCCTGGCTGTGTCATATTCTTTCTACAAATATTTGTTATGTACCAGCACTGGGGCTACATCAAGGGAAAAATATTGCCTGTAACCCAAGCACTTTGGGAGGCCGAAGTAGGAGGATTGCTTGAGCCCAGGAGTTCGAGACCAGCCTGAGTAACACAGTGAAGCCCCGTCTCCACAAAAAACATTTAAAAAAATTTGTTGGGTGTGATGGCACACACCTGTAATCCTAGCTACTCTAGCAGCTGAGGCAGGTGGATTGCTTGAGTCAGGAGTTCAAGGCTGCCAGTGAGCTATGATTGCACCACTCCAGCCTGGGTGACAGAGCCTTAAAAGAAAATTGTTCCTGCCCTCATGGAACTTGTATTCCAGTCTAAGATGTGTATGTATACTTATGTTAATTATGTATATTTATATTTCCAGGATTATGCACACACGCACATATAATACTGTCTAACATGTGTATGTGCGAGGAGTAGATAGGCTTAAACTCTGGTAGGCCTGGAGATTCCCTGGTTTTTTGCTCACAATCACTGGTCCTGTCACCTGGAGCTCTATTCTGAGCATGAAGGCAGCTGAGGGCAGAGGGAAAGAAGCTAGAAACATAGGCCTGTTGCCTCCTAGGATGCATTGTGGTTATTTCCTCAGCCTTCTGATTGACTGAATTCTTTCTAAACTGGGAACAGCTGTGTAAGTCCATGCGTGGTAAGGAACTGTTAGTGCACATCAAGTCTTACCTCTGCTCAGTGCTGGGGAAGGGTGGGAGTGGGGTCTGGGAGGCTGAGGTAAGAGGCTAGGTTCTCTGAGAGCACTTAGAGACCGGAAGGGATAAATTCTGGGAGGCAGTGAGCTCTGGGAGTCACTTGCAGATAATGGGAGGTGGTTTGAGGACACTTGGGGAGGGATGGGGTGGTAGGATAGAGAAGGGGGCGGAAGTGAGTAATGAGGTTGGGATTGGAGATGGAGTTGGGGTGGGGTCAGGGCAGAGATAGAGGCTTTGGTGGCAGGGATACACCTGTCTGGGGGTGGAGCCTGGAAGCCATCTTGGGGGAGTCATCCCTCCCTCCCCACCTCCACCCCCACTCTCTCTCTAAGCTGGGCCCCAGTTTAGCCCTCTCTCTGCTCAAGCTGGCTCTCAGATGCGCCGGGGCAGAGGAGGAGAGCTAAGGCTCCAGGGCCTGGCCTGGCTTAGGTGACTCACTTAAGTGGTGGGCGAGGTGGGGCAGGGTTCACAATACCGGCATCCCATGAAGCCTTGTCCCAGCCACCTGGGTCATTTCCCATCCAGCTGCCATTACCAGCTTCCAGTATGGGCTTGGCCCAAGGGGTTCAAACAAGGGTGGGGTGTAGACCTGCAAAGGGTCATAGAATATCCACCCATTCCACCAACACACACACATTTCTAGGACTGAAGTGGGAAGGTGCTTCTGAATCATTTCTTCCTTTCCCTGCTTTTGCTATATGCTTTCCAGATGCAGTCAAGTCTGGGAGTCTCCAGGTGCCACCTGAACCCTTGGTCTATGGTAATACTCATACCTCTCCCCTTCCTTCTCACCCACCCTTGCTGGACTACCAGGGTTTCTGCCCCTTCACTGCCTTGTCCCCTTTCTTCAGGGCCTCTTTTTTCCCCCCAGGGTTGAGGCCTTAGATCCCTGGGCTGTGTCCTTGCTGGTTAGGGAGTGGGGTTGGGGTGGGGGGGATTGCTAAAAACGCAAGCTAGTTCCTGGCCTGGATTTATTTTTCTGATTGATTTATCTTTTAGAGGCAGGGTCTTGCTATGTTGCCCAGACTAGACTTGAAGTCCTGGGCTCAAGAGATCCTTCTGCCTCAGCCTCCCGAGTAGTTGGGTCTATAGGCACATGCCACTGTGCCTGGTCTGGATTTGGTTTTGACATTTACTCTGCCATTTGGGCAACTGAAGGCTCTCTGGACAGGGTGGACAGTTATGAAAATCCAGTTATGGTGACAAGAGTTACCCCACAATCAAATCTCATCCCATTCTCTTAGTGGGGAGAACCTTGAAGTACTCAGTACCTTCACTGAAAGGAGGGCTGGAGTCCCCTGGGAGAAAAGACAGGGTCTCTATGAGAAGTGGTGACAGCTTGAGAGAAGTAATGGAGTCTCCCAGGATAAGGGTTGAGGACTCTAGGGACAATTGCTTCCTGCTACCCCCACCCCAAGAGCTGGAGTAGGGCTGGAGAAGGCCCCACAGTTCTCCTGGGCCTAACTCCTTGGTGTCAGAGGGGTTAAGTTCTAGGGGCAGTAGTGGGGGGTTTCTAGGGGGAGTAATCTCTGAAGGGTAATGGTGGGTCTTTGCACAGGAGGTTTTGCAGTATGGGATTGAGTCTCAGTTCCACTGCTTTTTTTTTTCTTTTCTTTTCTTTTCTTTTTTTCTTTTCTTTTATTATTATTTTTTTAAGTCAGGGTGTCTCTTTGTTGCCCAGACTAAAACGGCACGATCATGGCTCACTGCACCCTTGAACTCCTGAGCTGGAGCAATCAATCCTCCCGCCTCAGCTTCTTGAGTAGCTGGGAGTACAGTCATGCACCACCCCACTCAGCCAGTTCTACTGCTTTTGAAGTGCGTATATTGGGTAGGTTTCTTAACTTTCCTTATTCTGTGTCCTCTTCTGCAATATAGTGATAAAATTTACTCCATAGGGGTTATGACAAGGATTAGAGATCTTATAAGCAATGTGTCTGTAACAAAATAGGTGCTCAACAAACGTCAGTTTTATTATGCAGTACTATTATGGGGCAGATGATCTGCATGGAGATGGGGGCTGGGTGCCCAGTGCAGAGCTTCCTGCTGAAGTGGGTTTGTTGGAGAATGGGGTGATTGCAGTCTTGGCACCTGCCTGGAGGAGGCCTTAGGAATTGGGCCTTAGGAAAAGGGGAAAGGCTGAGGCAGGATAGAGATGGGCAGGGACTGGGCTTCCAGAGAGCTGAACAGTCTTCACCCCCACCCCTAGCCCTCCTCAGGGAGCCCTTGTCAGAACCCAGGGCTCTACCTCTGGGCTTCTGAGGAGGGGCATCCCCCAAAGTCACCTCCATCCATCTCTTTTATCTGGGCTGATGAAGGGCTAGAGCTCCAATGGGGCCTCTGATGGGGAACAGATACAGACCAGGCGGAAGCAGCCGGAACTGTGCTGGGCTGGAGCTGAGGACTGGGCCAGGGGGTCAGTGAAGACAGATAAAGCTCAGAGCAGCTGGAGGCTCAAGGGACCTGGGGCGGGGGAGCAGCAGGGGCTGAGGGCCGGCTGTGTCCTGGGAGGAGGCAAGGCCGGAAGCTTCTGATGGGGACCAGTGTCCACCAAGGACTTCAAATGACCAGACAAAGCCTTTAATGACTCTTTGGGAGGAGGGAAGTGAGGACGGAGCTGCCTCCCCCAGACACGGGTGCAGGAAGGCCAAGGTGCCTGCTGAGAGTGAGGGCTGGTCCTGGGGGAAGTCAAAACTTAGAACAGGCGGAACCCTCCAGGCACAGGGCAGCGGTTCTGGGGCTGCCTTACCTTTAAGGGAGAGAGTGATGGGAAAAGGATTGGGAAGCGATTCTGTGATTTTAGTTCCTGTTTTAATTAACTTTGAAGGGCTTGGGGCCTCCCTGAACGCCAGGGAGGGGAGGAGAGCAGACATTTATTTTCCTCTTTTCCCTTTTAAAGACAATTTTATTAAATCACTTTGTTTTCATTCTGGCTTGAACATAGGGCGTTTAAATGGAAAAGTAATTATTTCACCTCATTTGCTTATGGAGAGAGGGGAGTCAGGAAAGGGAGGGATGCCAGTGAGAGGAAGAGGCTGCAGCCTCAAGCCCAGTGTGCACACAGCGTGCGTGCACACACAACCATGCTCACACACCATAATCCACGTCCACATATCTCTCACTCTAGCACACATGTGTACAGTCCCAAATGCAGACACTTCAGTATTTGCACACACACATCCACATTCTCCTGACACACACTCCTTCACCACAGCCATACTTACAGACAGAAGCACTCTCTCTCATGCACACTCACAGCACACTGTGCTCACAGTACAGGCACCGTCACAGTACCCTTAGATACCTTCCAAGCACCCGTGCGTGGGTATGCTTGCACCTGTTCACACACGTGCACGCACGCACACACACAACCCCAATGCAGTCCAGTACTTCCAAGCCTACTGCATTACACCATCAGAAGTACACACAGTTTCAGACACACAGTTACACAGACGCCCATTCTCAAATACACAGGCACACCCTGACAAGCAGCCTTGGGGACATACATGTGAGGAGGGCATTGTCATGG